CTATTATTTGATACATAGACCAAGTGGCTGTGAAATGGTGTTTCTCCATCTTGTAGGTCTGAGGCCATGAAAAGTACACTTTTATCAGAGTTACTGACAAAAGAGAAACTTCAAGCAGAATTTGACATTTCATTTTCTAGCCTACTGTAATCTAAGACAAGGCACATCCCTCCAGAATCCCTTGTTTTGCTTGCTGTCAGTCTTCTCTATTCTGTTAGGTAATGCTGTAATCCAATTTCAGGTTTAATGCTGGCAGCAAGAGCACTGTGACATCAGGTACATGTTTATGTTTCAACATTTCTACCCCAAGCAGCTGTATATGCCAAGGAGCCAGCCCTTCTTAGATACTTGTGTCACCCTGGAAAAGTTGCCCAGGCCAGAACTAATTCCATTAGTGTTTGGAAAGCTATTTATAAGCCTGCCTTCTGTGGGATGACCTTATTAATTAGATTGGGGAAGGCTGAGGGAGGGAGAGGTGCTTGTTTCACAAGCCCATTGACATGCGTTTCAGCAAGAGATGCTTCTCCTTCACACTGCGCTCAGAAAAGACTTAGATAAAGCTGAATCTGGGTCAGTTTGCAACAAGAGACGAAAAAAAGTGAGTTACATCCAGCTGTCTGCAGGACCATTGTCCTGGTTCAGATTCAGAGCGTAACTTTTAGCAGGGCAGCTCTGCTGCTGCGTGTCCTCAGACACAGCAAGAAAGCCCAAGCCCTTCTCTGAAGGGCTCTGTGTTGGTTTGCCCACTTGATCTGTACCACAGAGATGCGTTTGAGGACACATCTCTGCATACAGAGGGAGCACAACCTCAAGCATTTCCCCCGGTGAGCATCCCACTGCTCATACTTAAGCATGAGCTTGTGCCCGAAGTGGAGCACACTGCTTTATCTTGGGCTTGCCTAAGACCTATTGCTGCCCTGGTCTTACAGTCCACATTATTGAAAAACTGATTTTTATATTAGAAACCTGAAGAAGAAATAGAATTTCCTTCAAAAATTGCACCAGTAAGTTATGTTCTAACAGCCAAGGTCTGTTCTAGAATATATTTCTACAATAACCATGCACACATCTGTAGCAGGCACTCAGTTACAAACCACTTACTTCTGAATTTGTTCTCTAAATCTAAGGAGGGGAAGGAGCTTTCCCTCTAAAGCTTCAAAATCTAACCTTCTTGCCTTATCACATATATCCCTAAGAGACTAGGTCCTCATTCTGTTTGTTTTGAAGTCAAAAGGAAACAGAAGGATATTTTTCTCCACCCTCATTTGCCACAAATGCTTCATTTATTCTCCCATGAATACTGGGAGTGGAGAGGAGTTTCACCTGTCAAACTTGTTTCCCATGCCTCATTAGTGCCCGTGCTGCTTAGCTTGCCTCCCTGCTGCATTAAACTGGCTAAGAGCTTCCCAAGCCATAGCACGCTGTTCTGCTCCCTCCAAAGTCAGTCTGTCACCACTGGCACCTCCAAAAAGTAAGTACCTGGGAACATTAGCAATGTCTTGTCACCAATACATCTGTTTTGGCAGCTGCGGTGCTGCTTACAAATGTTTGTTTCTCTGTTATCTGTTTAACAAATCAGGAGACTGGATATTGTGCAGGCTTATTGTAAGAACTTGTCTGTGCCAAATGGCCAGGAGAAACCCAGCTTTTGTGTGAGGTGTTTAGTTTTATTCGTATAACCTCCTGATCAAATGTCATTCACCACTGACATCTCATTATCCTCTTGGGTGGGGAAAAGGAAGCTTTCAGCAATCCCGCCTTTTTGTTTCACAGATTTGTGCAACCCAAGACAATTTTACAGTGCAGGAAAACAACAGACCCCGCTTTAGTGTCCCTATTTGCATAATCCTATAAAAGCATTTGATGTCCGCTTCAGGAATTAGTATGTCTCTGTATGTGTCAACTTAATGCTTATAAATAGTCCAGGAGAACAAACTCCTCCATCCCTAGACAAGCAGATAGTGCCTGTGAGGGACCAGCAGGAGATTCAGCATGGGAAAATTTGACCTAGAAATAATAAGGGCAAACCACATAGCTCATGTACTCATTGACTTCACTGCTGAGACTGTCAGGAACTGCAATTACTAACAGATTTGCTATGCAAGTACCTTCTATTAGGTGCCAGAGGGGGTCTATTAGATGTCAAACTGGGATTGCCTAGTTCATTTTGGGCAATCCATTTTACAAATACCTCACAGGCCTGATCAGAACCAAATTCTTTTTGCCCAGTGAAAAAATAATAGGTTAAATTTCTTATTAATGAATTATTCTTGGCTGTTCATTTTCAATACATTGCTGCTTCTTCCAAATGCACCATGTGATAGTGCCCTACAGCAAGGATGCATTCAGTAAGGAAAGTTCTTCCATCTTCTCATAACCCCTGACTCATTTATTAAAATACATTTCTGGCTGAGCTCACTATGACATAGTTCCAGTCTTAAGAACATTTTTAAATCAGATGGACATTGGGTATTTGAAGGCTTTTTATTCTTTCTTACTTGGTAAATAAGAGCAATCAAACTAATAGGTTTTTGCTTCCTTAATTTTGCATACTTAATGCCAGTGCTTAGTGCCAGTTTTGGGGATTTAAGTTTGATAGTCATTTGGCCCATAATAAGGGAGTTCTTTTGCTGTGATTGTTTTTAAGGACATTCTGATTCATTACATCATAAAAAGCAATTACAGAGATGAGTTCAACAAGAGTCACTAGTTACATGTTACTAGTCAGGATGGCTTTAGCAATATCTATGCTGAGTAATCTAGTGGTCTCCTTAAGAGACATAGACATTCAGGTCAAAATCTTCCAGTCTCGTCACTGCTGTCATGATGGTTGCTGGTCTTATCCTGGTTCCATTTGGTTAAGCTTCATGATTTGAATGTTCTTGTTTTCATTCAAAATGAACAAGCTGGGAACAGTACTGTTTTTTTTTAACTGTATCTTGAATCTGTAAATCTTTGATGCTCCAGCAACAGGAAGCCACAGCATTTGTTGTTTTAAAGATCTCGCCATTCTGTGACCACAGAATGAAGGTGGAAAAACAGGCTTTGAAAACTGTGAGGAGAAAAACTCTCTCTGAAACATTTGCTGGTTGAGTCCAGCTGAAATGGTAAGGGCAGCAGGGAAGGAAATGAAAATGAAAGTGGCTTGGAAAGAGACAGAAGAGTCAAAGAAGAGCAGAGGGAGTGAGAGGAGACAAAATGCAATGCCTCTGTGCACACCTCTGAAGGTCTCAGCAGATCCATTTTATAAGTCAGTCCAGCTTTTCACCAGAAACCCACAGAAGTCAGCCTTGCAGCCATGGTGTCCACAGCATCGCCCATTCCGGAATAGTTTTATAGCCTGAAAGAGCAAATGACTGGGGCAGCCACAGGGCAGTGCAAGGGTGTGTGGTATTGAGCAGGAAGGTAGCTGCGCCACCACAACTTCAACCTCAAAGCCGTATATTGGGATGCTGCTGAAGCTTCAGATGTTCAAAGGCAGCCATGCGCGCATGGCTGGGTTCATCAGTGGTGTCCTCAAACTCTGTTCCTTTTGGATTAACAGATAACATAAGCAATATGAAACTTCATAAGCAGTGACACTGTTAAATCAGGTGACAGATTGAACTAGTTTATTAACAGTGATACCTCACTGAGATTAATGGAAGTATTTCTCAGGGAACTAGCTTGGCTTTGCATTTTGGGAGCTCTCCTTTTCAGCAACAAGCTCTACCTCCTCTTTAAGCAAAGCTGAGCAACCTCCTGTCTGCAGTGGTCCTCTGGCCCAGCCCCAGCTGTCCTTGCTGGAGACCAAAATCTGCAATTTGGACCAGAAGAGCTTATTCTATCCTGAAATTACGGAAACTGAGGGACAGTTTACAAAGCTTTTACCACCCAATCAATTCCTCACTCCTGGCATGAAGGATGAATTAGTAAAGGGGCTGAGTAAAGGCAGATTTGGACTGACGGCCAGCCAAGTCATGATGCTCACACTTCCTTCTGCTGCCTGAGGTGACAGTTCGTCTGTGGAGATAACTTACAAACCATGGCAGCAGCAGTCAGCAGATCCTAACTGTCTGTCTCTGTCCTACCATAAAAGATGTTGATTGTGAGTATAGTTTATTTGTCTAAACCAGTGGTTGGCTTTGGTGTGCCTCTGCTAATCACTTCTATTGAGGGCTGAAACCGTTCGAAATCCCATTGTAAACAAGACCTTAGATGAGAAAACAGACGTTTGAATAGAACTTAATATTCTTGTAATTCATGTTCTGATTTATACCAATCGAGGAAACAGCATTAGTCTTTCAGAAGCACGCTTGACATGGCCTTTTCTCTTAGTAAAGTAACCCTTGCTTGGAAAAGTTTGGTTTGAGTAGATAAGATGATGGTTTCCAGCTGGGGGAACAAGGAGGAGAGCTAACCAGTTTATCACAAGATGTCTAGCCCCTGTAATCTTGATTTAGAGGCAAGTAAATTATTCCACATGCAGCTTTATGCCACAGCAGAGCCTCTTTTGCCAGGCACAGGCTGGGGTGTAAGGGCACCGTTGGCCAGGGCCTCCCTCAGCCGATGCTGTCCTCCCAAAGGAAGGGCTCTTTCAGCTTCCAGAGTTTAAAAATCAGGCATGTTTAAATCTCTAAATCCTCATCTATGTGCCTGTGTGTGTGAATGCGTTGAGACAATGGCAATGCGGACACCACCTCCTGTCAATCTCTGCTGCTAAATCGCGGCCGCCGCTCCCAGCGCTGCGGGGTTGAGCTGCAGCCGCGGCGCTCGGGAAGCCCGGAGCCTCCGACATTGATGCTGCTGCTGCTGCTGCTGCTGCTGTCTTCCAGGCCGAGCCCGGACACCGGCTCAATGGGGGACCCTCAGGGCGACCCCGCTCCGGGGTGCCTCCCTCCGCCCCGCGCCCTCCCGCCGTTGCCGCGGTGCGGCGGGGGCGGGCCCAGGCGCTGTAGGCGGGCAGGGGCGGAGGGAAGCGCGGGCCGGGCGGGCTGAGGGGAGCCGAGAGGCCGGTTAAAGCGAGCGGCCGCCCGCCCGCCCGGCTCCCGCACCTCACGACGGACGGCGGCGGCCGTCGCTGCGCGCCGCGGCGGCTCGAACGCCAATGAGGGCCCGGACTCCGGCCCTCGCCGCCTCAGGAGCCGCCCGCAGCCTCCCGTCCCGACCCCCTGCCCGCCGCCCAGCCGGGGCGGGCGGCCCGGACCCATGCGGCGGCTCCAGGAGAGGTTCAGGAGGTGAGGTCCCCCCTTCCCTTGGCGGCGGGGCCGTGCTGCCCCGCTCCCCGCGGCTGCTCTGGGCCATGGGAGCCCCCCGCGCTCCCTCCACGGCCGGGCGGGCGCTCCGGGGCTCGGGGTCGTGTGAGGGCTGGGCCGTGGGTATCCGAGGTCTCGTTCACACGCCCCACACCGCGCTGAGGCGCCGGTCCCCGGAGCATCGCCGGCGCTGGGTGGGAAGAGCGGGGCCGGCCCAGCGCGGTGTGCGGGGTGTGAATGGGGGCTCCGCGCGATTGCTCTTTGTTTATGATTTTGTCTTTCTTCCCCCAGTTTAAATGGGTGAAGGTTCACGCATCCGGCCCTGTCACATCCCCGGCCCCGCCGCGCCGCCCGCGGAGCCCGACCTGTGGCTCCCGGGCAGGGCTGGCCATGGCAGGCCGGGCTGGGCATAGCAGGGCTGCCCCGGCCCCTCCGCGCCCCTCGGCACAGCGCTGGAGCTCTTCGTTCAGGTGTCACTCAGGGAGGGCTGAAGATGCTGCTGGTTTCACGGCGGGTCGGTTGGGTCGCAGTGGGATCCGGGTTCTCGGGTGAACATGGATGTATGTGGGCTTTAGGTACTGAACTGCTCGAAGTCTAGGTGCAAGGCCGGTAACTGTTGAGGCTGGCTCCCAGAGCAGACCAGGTATGCTGCTGTAGGGCTGCCCCGCTCTCCTTTCACCAACTTGCTCAAGAAGCCAAAGCCTAAGTATTAAAAAGGAAATAAAATTGAAAGAGAGAAGGATGTGAATGTGGTCACACCTGGTACTAGCCCACACCTAGGCTACTGTGCTGGCTGATACCTTGGCCCTGAGCTCAGATGTGCTGCAGCACCTTGTGTGACTTGTGTTTGCTCCACACTCTTCACTTGACATTTTGCCTTTCATACTTACCATAAGGCTGAGGAGTCTTTGGGGAGGTCAGCGGGATGCACAGACACTTTTTTCCATGACCTACTCTATGTATGATGCCACAGTTGTTAATGGATTCTCGTAGTATTGCAGATTTCATTTTATCTTGAGTATCCTGCTGTAAGTACGTGAACCTTTACGCAGCATGTGGTTTCACTGATATTTCCAAAGAAGTGGTCTGCTGCTGTGCAGATCTGAGTTATTTCTGTGACTCAGTTGTTCGGTGATAGCAAAGATTATGTGAACAAACCACAACTAGATGTTTTCTAATCCCGGAAGGAAGGTGCTAGTCCTGAGGAATATGGCTCTATTTTTAACTTAATGGAACCAAGTTGTAAATAGGGAATATCTGCCAACTTGGTCAAAGAAAGCAAGCTTTTCATAAACCTATTTGTTTCTTTTCCAGATCTTACCTAAATGGTCATCATGAAAATGTAGTGCTGATCTATTTGACATGCTTGTGATTTTTTTTTGCTTTGTTTTTTCCTCTCTAAAAAAAAGCCTAGGTAACATAAAAATTGCTTCAGTGCCTAAACATGTAACCCCATTTAATGTATGCTGCTGCTGCCGGTTTTGTGGAGTTATCACCGCCTTGTTGCAGTTCCTCATATGCTGTTATTTGTGGTTTATTACATCTAAATGGTCTCTCCTGCTGCTGGAAAGCACAAGAAAAAGAGCTATAAAAAGGGGTAATGTGCTTTTAAGCCAGGAAAAGGAAGTATGAGGCCTTTTGAACTGTACAAAGGAAATGGACTTCCTGAAAAGTCTAGAAAATCCAGATCTTTGAGGTTATTATCAGTGGCTTGCTGTTTTTACTGACATGCTTAAAAGAATAACTAATTTAGCAGATGGGACTCAAGAATAAGGCAAGATCTGAAAGGGCTTTTCTCTTCTGCAGTTTGGGGTATAAGCTGTGATACCAGACAAATTCCAGACACATACGTGCAATAGATTTGGGATTTTATCATTTATTTTTCTAAGCTGGTTTGCATGTAAAGACAAAGCATTAAGAAACCTCAGATTTTCCTCCTGCTTGCGGGAAGCACTATGAGACATACAGCATCTGCTCCTAGGAAATGAATAGGAACTGGAGATCAGGGGTCTCACAAAGAATGGATTGGTCCATATGTTTAACATCATAAATATCTGAAGTGTTTCAAGATCTATGTTCAAGTAGTATAAAGGGAGAGGTATGAGGTTTTCTTTCTTGTTTTAAATAGCCATATGTCTTTCTCAGTACCCCTTTTCCACTTACATTGGGAACGTGCTCATCAGAGGTTGTTGCGTGCTTTGAAATTATGAAGCTTTCGCCTCCTTGGCTTCAAGTAGATCTTGAGCTTTAGGAGTGCATTTAAATTGTGACAATGATCTTGTAACTCGGTTCAGTGCAAAAGCATTCTGCGCCCATGTTACTAGTCTGATTCAGAAATTTCATATTCTGATATTGCAGGAGTTAGTAATTTATCCTTAGAGGTCTTGGATTCTAAGTATCTTAAATGGAGACATATTTCTGTGTTCTTGTGATGTAATGCTGCATATCCCCTGATCAAATCACTCCAGTTTTCACTGGAGCTCCTATTAAAGAATACATTAGAGATTTGTTAGAGAATCAAAAGGCTTCGCTTAAAGATGTTTCCTGTAAACTGTAGTCTAGTTCAATGGGATCTTCTCCTGCATTTGATAATAGACTTAATGGTTGTGTTATAGAGAGCATTTATTTAAGGGTAAACAGCATCTGAAGGTTGTATATCAAGTTTCCGCTTTTAGGAAGGTGAGATTATATTTCTCACAATTATCTTTCCCAGAAGAGGCAAAGTTGACCTGTAGAGAGGAAGGAAAAACAATGTCTCTGTGTTGCAGCATTCATGTGGCAGAAAACAAAAAGCACCCATTGTTGGTGGTGGTGTGAGGTTTATTAATTTATTTATCTTTAAGAAAGAACAGAACAGTTTTTGCCTCTAGACTGTAAGTCTGCAACCAAATTCTTCTGCCCTCATATTACAATATCATGCATGCAGGAGTGTATGACTGACTTTTAACAGTATGTGTCGAAATAATTGTTCCTGGGTTTGATGCTTACTTCAGTGTAGTATCACAAAGCAGCTACTTTCAAACTTCAAGTCTGTTCCTTGAGACATTAAACACCAACTGTCAAACTGGAAATGAAACAAACACAAGAGAGGCATTGGCTGGAATTATTGCCCTATCCAGCTACTTTTTAAATGACCCTTCCTCTAAAGTTGTTTCCGGTAACTGCTTTACTGAAAACGGCTGTGAGCAGTGACCTGAGCACATGTGCTCCAGCATTTGCAGTCTGGGTCTTGTTGATGCCCTTCAGAAAGGACAGGTTCAGGTATGTCAAGTGCCCATCAGAGTTAGGTCCTGGGGTGTTGCGAGATCCTTTTCTTTAAGGCAGAGGTAAAGTCTAACACTTCCTCTGCTGCCCAGATCAAACACAGTACTGGTGCTGATGTTGTCAGTATAAACATGTAGGTGAAGGGGATGGGTAAAGCATTGCTAATGGGGGTGTTCTGCTAGAACTCTTTCTGCTGGAAGAAAAGCAAGTTACAGCTGCTGTGGGAGTCCACTAGAACTTTCTGTTCAACAACCATTTGTTGCTGTTGTTTTAAATAATCAGAATTGAAATATATAATAATTAAAAAGAAAAAAAAATTGAAATGTTTTGTAAGTGTGAAGTCTTCTGAAGCCAGGTCCTTGTCTGTTTTCCAGCCTGAAGTTACCACACAGGTGAATGACCCTTTGCATGATTCCTGTGCTGGCACAAAGAAAAGGGGAAAACCCCGACCGTAGATAACAGAGAAAGTATAGCTTTGTTCATGTCTGTGTTCTGTTTTACTGTAATAACACTGTCTTTAAATCAGTGAAGGTAAGAGGTCCTAATAATAAATGGACTTTTCTGAAGTGTTTGTTCATAATTCTATCTAAAAATCTAACGTTATCCCAGGCTCTGTTGTATTTTTTCTACCAAATAAATATGAATGAAAAGTAAAAAATGCCAGAAGTAGTCCTCTAGTGGATAATGGAAGGTCCCATCAGCAGGCTTCCTTCAAGTATTTATAGATTTTTAGATAATAATAATATCTTCTGTAGAAATTTGGAACAAGAGAAATGGTAAAGCTCATACTGAGGACAAGCTTATGCCTTTTGTTGTTTATTTATTACTATTTTTTACTTCTTGTGAGACTTCCAAAGTACCACCATGGCCTTTGGAGAAACATAATAAAATCATAGATGTCATCAGGGAAAGGTTTCCCATGACTCTGGATTTATGGAGTGGGACAAAGGCAGCCTAATCCTGGTCACTCAAGTGAGCCAACAGATGCTTTTATTTCACAGTGATTTCCTAACTTGGAAGCAGAGCTGAGTAACTGAATGTTCCATGTTTAGAGGATGCTGAGATGGGCTTCAGCAGCTGTTGAAGACCTGCATGCACTGGGCAACAAAATCAGTTTCCAAATGTGTGTGAGTGTGATGGCATTATCCTCTTGGAGATGAGAGCAAGGTGTCATTGCCACTGACAAAGACTTGCCAGTTTTTAACAATATATTAACTCTCATGAAATTGTTCACTTGCCGACAGCCATTTATACTCATGGGCTGTGAATGAAATACACATTTTTCTTATCCTATGTATTAATGGCAGTTAAAACTGGGTTTTGAAATTGCCACAATTTGAAGAGCTATCATGGCACTGTTGTTTTATAAATGATGTTAAATTTTCATATATCAGTTTAGAAAAGAAAAGTTTACAAATAAATCACTTAATAAATCAGTCAAGAAAACCAAGTGTTTGGTATCCCAGAAATCTGGAACTGCTGACACAAACTGTAAGATTCTGGTTGGCTGTTTTGGGTTTGGTTGGTTTTATCCTGGTTTGAGATTGGCCAATATTTTATGGGGGTCATAAAAATAGGACTGGGTTTGACTTAAACCAGGAGGGACAAGGGGGAAGGCCAAAGTTTGTCTAACAAGCTCTTTCCATACAGCTAGCTAGCAGAGCTGCTCTCAGTGCTGAGCACACAGGCATATCCCCTATTTGTTGTGAAGCTGTTCCTGGCTTGTTTGATGCCTGACTAATTGTCAATGCGTGGTTTTCTAATAGTCTGCAGTAAACTGGAATTTATTAGTGGAAGAGAATCCCTTTTGTATGATGGTAGGCTGTGCTGGGATAACGTACATGGTGCTGTAGATGCAGACAGCTTTGATTTGGCTGTCTGGTTGTATGTATGTGTGCGGTCTTATAGAGGCTTTTAAATTGTGTAGTCTCACGGAAACAAGTGTTTGGTTTTTTGGGATAGTTAAATGTGATGTTTGTGTTGGCAAGCTCTTCCAAAGCTTTCTCAGGTTTCATCATATTCCCTTTGGCTTGAATAGGCTGTGTTTGGTGTGATTGTTGGGTAACATTTGAAAATTCTTAGAGAAAAAAAGTAGAAGTTTATGGTAAGCCTCTTGAAACTTTTCCTCTTCGGAGTTAACCATTAGAGTCTCCTTTCATCCCTGTGTAGCTTGGATCTTATTAGAAGCAGAAGATAGCATTAGCCTCAAAGAAAAATTGAACCATCCAGTGCTCCAAACATGAATATTGCTTGCTGTAGGAATCAAAAAGTCAGTGTTCAAGTTGGTTTATTCCAAGGAATACTGCTCTACTTTCAGGAACTTCTTTAAAGAGTATTGTGGTTGAACTCAGGACAAAGAGTAACCCTTGGCAGTTATAAAGTCCATATTTCAAGAGTAATTTGAACCCGTATTATGTAATTTAAATAGGAAATAGTTGATTCCTCAACCAAGCTGTCAGAAAAAAGGAGGTCTGACTTCTGTATGCAAAGACTTGGTTAAAGAAAATGATCCCCTGTGAGAGGCGGTCACAGAAATGTATTTAATGTACGTTTCTGTTAAGAGATCTTACAGTTTAAATAAGTTATTTTTAACATGTCTATACTTATGATTTTTAACATGACTAGGTTGGAAGTATTCCTCCATGATACTCCAAGGAGATGGTTTATTAACTTTCATAAAAATACCTCCTCTTCATTCACCAGGTTCATGAACCACCCAGCTCCAGCAAACAGCCGCTACAAACCCACTTGCTATGAACATGCTGCGAACTGTTACACACATGCAGTAAGTACATATCCTTTCTTGTTTAAACCAGCTGTTTTGGTAAATTGTTGTGGGTTTGGATGGCTAAATGCTTACTTTTGCCTGGGTGTATAACAGTCCAGAAGCCATAATGCCAATTAGATGGTTGGTGATCACTAGTCCCTGTTCTGAATCTCTAGGAGCTCCAGATGCTTCGTAAAACTCCTTTTCACCCAAGTAAGTTGCATGTCTTTAAGTAGATGTTTTTCCTCTGTCACAGTCAAAGGGTGACTATGGTAAAGTGAATACAGGCCTGTGCAAGTTAGTCTTGCAAGGCAGATTTCCCAGTACTGTGCTGACATAATACTGTGCAAATCATGTTCTGCAACTCTAAGATTTATTCATGTTAGAAGTAGAAGGCTTCCAAAGACTACCATGTGGATGTTAGCTAGAAGATCAGGAACAGCCTAGTTCTTACGCTTCGTATCTGTGAACTGATTCCTTGAGAAAACTGCTGTTTTGAAAGAGGCACTAATAATGCTGACAGCCCTACTAAAAACCTTATTCTGCCCTTATCTTCATACTGTAAGGACCCATACTAGATTTGAATATATGATATAGACAGAATAAGGAAAGCAGTCATGTTGATTCCCCCCCACTTTTTTTTTTCTTTAGTAATTAGGAAGTTTAATTTGCTGTCTGGCACTTTGAACAAGACTTAAAAATGTGTTTGTTTGTTCTTCAAGATAGCATTTGCCCTTTTATAAAAGCAACTTGTGCTTCTCCTCAGCCCCTTGTTTAACTCCAAACATCTGAAGTATGTTTGACTTTGTCCTTAGTCTCTTATCTCCAGTGTGTCTGAGTGAGCTACAGATAGGAATGCTCAAGGTAGTGCACAGGACTCTTCAGTTCTAGAAAGAGCTCTGCTCTTAAGGACCCTTGTGTATAAATAACCAACATACAGCTCAGTGTTGCTGGTAAAAACAAGATCACCTTGGTTTACATATAGAAAAGGTAATTGAAGCTTAAGTGTTTTGTAAGCCAAGGGTCTCATGTACAGCATTATGTAAATATATGCTTATTTGTCTAGGGAATGAAGCAACATTCTGTTAGTTAGCACAAATATGTAGTTTATCTCATAATCCTTGTGCAAATCTTGTTTACTCTGGGCAAAAGTTAGATTTCAAAATACCTGGCAGAAGTTGCTGAACTCCTTAGCAATTGTAGCCTTCATCTAGTTGGAAAATAGGCACGTCTTATTCCTGCCTATTAGCAGTATCTTGCAGCCAAGGGGTTCTCTCGGTGTTTTCTGGTATGCTCCAGTTGCTGGTGAAGCTCTCTCATTGCTTTCTGAACAGCCAAGCTACATGCTAAAACCTCCCATGAGCTGTTAACGCCTTGGGGATATGCAATGTTGGCATACCCATTGGAAGAAGATAGTGTGGTATAAAAGAGGGATTGTTACTCCTTAAATACAATTGTGTGCCATAAATAACTTTTAATCAAAATTTAAACCCTTGAAATAGGAGTCTGATCTGGGAAAGCACAGTGGATTATGCAGAAAAAGCTGTGGGGCATGCTTGCTTCATCTCCGTGTTGCAGATTGGTTTACTCAGTGTTAGATAGTCAAGTGGTCTTTGAGTCTTTGCCACTAGATTACAGCATGAGTTTTCTGTTTGAAATTGATGTAATTTTTACAGAACAGTTTGAAAAATACATGGAGAACCCCCGCTAAAGCTTTAGTCATGCTTCAGGAAGTAGACAGCTTGCATTTTATGAGCGTGGCTGTATCCTCAGTAGCTATCCTGTCTGGGTTTTGACTTGAAAATATGCAGTTTATGCAGCTGCTTAAAAACCAAAACCCCCAAAACCAACCAACCAAAACCTCCTGAACAGTAAATGGGGATACATAACCCCATGCATATCTTTTTGGTACAATGCTTGAAAGGTAATTTTGTGTAGCATAGTAAAGGTACTTCAAATTTCTAATTAGTAAGGCTGTTTAAAATGTCTTGACTTTTTTAGCTTTAAATGAAGCACTGACTTGTCTTTAGACACGAGGAGAGAGGAAGGGCAGCTAAGCAGTTGAATACAGAGACAGAAAAGTCTGCTCGCTGTGTTTAGAAGAACAGGAAGGAAACAGTGTATGAGAGAAGCAGGAGTTCTAAGAATTTGAGTTGTAAGGTAAGCTAAATCTAAGGGGAGGGATAGCTCTTTCACAGTGAAACATTCTCATTTATGTAAGGTTTATCAGACAAAAGATATGCTCTGCTGTATTAAACCCTCAGAATTCAGGCACAGCTTGCTTTATACTGCTCTAAGCTTCTTCCAACTGCCTTAAAAGGAGGAACTATTCTTAACATAAGTTACAGTCTCTACATTCCAGTCTTGGTTTGTGCAGTGCATGGAAAAAACAAGAAATAAGTATAAATATTCCAAAAATGAGGCCTGGAGCACTTAGCAGGCCATTTGAGCATGGGAGAAGGGCTCATCAGGTTTCAGGAAGACTCTTGTGTTGAAAAAGTCTCTGTTCTACCTGACTGATACGAGCAGTTTCCCTGCTGTCTGTGTATTGACCAACACAAGTAGGTGGTTCGTTTCCCACTCTGTCATGCGCATCTTCTGATTTGGGAAGAGAAAACTGGTGAGTAGGGAAACTTTGCTTCAGGACTGCGCTCTGGAGTGGGCAGCTTGAGATGGACACAGTCTTTCATGGCTCCTTCTGAGTGTCACGTGTGCTTTTGGCTCCCTTGTTGATCATTCCATTGTCTTTCCCAAGAGGAAGTGTGGAGAACATCTCTATGTTACTGTTTCTCAATGAAAGGCACATGAGATTGCAACAGTAACTCCATTACAACCATGACACCATTGCAACAAGAACACCATGCTTTGCAATGGTGGTTTGTGCATTGCAAATTGTTGCTGGCTACATGACGTGCACAGCCTGTGCGCAAAGAAAATAACATTCATGACAAAGTAAATTATATACAAAAGCACAAGTTTAACAGATTTTTAAACCTCTCAGTGGGAGAGATTGTCTGCAGAAATATAGAAAGAATACAGTAAAATAGGGACCAACATACTAGTATCCTAAGCAACCCCAGATAGGTGGAAGATGTAGCACCTTTCAGCATCTTTCTTTGTGCCTTAAGGCTTTTTGCAGTGGCTGCAATTGCACTCACATTCTATTAGTTCTTACTCTTTAATTGAATACCTCTCATTTTAAGGGACTGATTGCTTGCTCCTCCCTTGTGAAGATCAAAATGCACTTCTTGCACTAGAGATTGATTTTTTTCAAATGAACATGGAAAAATCTGCCTTATTTTGTTGATTAAAGTGTTACATTTATCTTGAAAGATTGATGTTAGATACAATGAAGTCCATTGTAGCATATGTTATGTGTTATGACGTTAGTATCTGAAGAACTCTTTTCCAGTTGGCTGGAACAGCAGGGTATCATTTCTGGATTTTGTCTTTAATCTAGCTATTTTTAGTCAGAAAAAGAGTAATAAACCATCTCTTGTTTAGTCTAACTGCTCTCATGATGCATAGTGGGTACAGAGGGAAAAGTGTTTCCAAATAGAATGCTTAGAAAAAACAGTAAATCCTTCTTATGGTAGTATAGTGCTGTTGCCTGTGAGAAGACATGGCAGAAAAGAGATTAATTCAGGTCTTCATTCACATACTTATTTATAGCTGCTATTCTTCATTCTGAAGATGCAAAGAAGACTGATTGTTTTAATCCTATAACTTTATATACAGTAATTACTGGAAGGAGTGATTGACATCAAAGCCTGTGTTGGCCCATTTGAGCATTACACATTATAGCTTAAGTTGTGAATTGTGAAATACTTACTTTGGTAGACTAGAAAAAGCTGGGATACCTGTGTAAGAAAGGCAAGTTGTCCTGTGTAATACCTAGTTTCTAAAGTGGCCTTCCTTCCTATAAAATGGTCTCAGTCTGAGCTCCAGGCAAAATCTTTGAGCAGCTTACGCCCAGGCTTTTAATAGGGAATTAGTAAGGATTTGCTATTTTACCCAGTACTTGTGTTCATGATACTTGTGGGTGCATAATCTCTCTGAAACCTTTCAGTTAGTTTAGTCAAAACTGGAATTTGCACTAGAAATTGGGAAGGAATCTGAACACGGATACAGCCTGACTGCACAGCTTAAAGAATCATGGCTAAAAAGCTATTTCTGGAGCTCAGTATCCTCCTGTCTCCTGCAAAACCTAAATGAAACAACTGCCACAGCTAATCAGTCCCTTGCTGTCTCAAGGGTTTCAGCCATGCTTTAAACTGTATGTCATATGTGGAAACCAGGAGTGACTAATCCCTTGAGGAGTGAAACACTTTAACCTTTCCTGAATCTGGGGGCTGTCCAGGATATGTAGATGGAAATTTATGGTTTGTGATAAACGAGAAGCCAGGCTGGCAGACTATTTTTGTCCTGAGAGTGCATGAGGTCAACTTCCATAGTCTCATTACAGAAACTCGGAAGGTGTTTTCTCCTCTGATCCAAGTGCTGTGGATAGAGGAATACCATACTTTTCACTTGCATGGCTCTATAGCTTTTGGTATAAATGTACTCAATTTTTCAAAAAGGAAGAAAACAGAGTAATGAAGCTACAGTTCATATGCTTCAAAAGCCAGAAGTAAAAGCCCCCTTCGGTTGTTTGGGGTTTTTTTACAGCTCTGGATTAACAAAGTACTCTACGTGTTCTGCACTGTAGCTGTGATCAGAACCTCAGTTTCTAGTCCTTAAGCAGGTAAAGGACAAAGACAGTGCAGGCTAGACCAGAACTCTGCCCTCTGAGCTATCAAACCTGTAATGCAAAGCAGAGCTGCGGATTAGTTTAAATAGTTTTTGTTCTGAGCATTATTGTTTAGCATGTGGGACTTGGGTTTAACTATGAAGAATTTAACCTATGAAGGTTATTCACAATTCAGCATCTTAAGATACACCATAAGGACCGGAAGGGAGCTTGTGTGGTGTTTTTAACTTAGAAGGCTGACAAAGATATGAAGATATGCATTGGTAGTGGAAGGGAACAGGTAGAAATGGCTGAGCCAGCAGGTTCTTCTCTTAAAATACTTGTTGGACATGCCTTTTTCCCCCACCTTTTTCCTAGTTAGCTTTTCTCTGAATGAGGCAAAGGTACCTAATACAATTTATTCTGGAAAGGAGTTATTCTGTAAATGTATATGAAGCCTGAAGCTTACTTCTTAGATATGTCATATAAGCATGCTAATTCCATCATGATGTTCTAACAGTGGTTGCTTTGGAAGATCTGAATTAAAGCTGCTTGAGAGGGAGCTGGTAAGGAGAGCAGACTTGGATACACTGCATTAAAAGAACATCTTTGTAGACTCTATTAATAAAAGAAGTTTGCAGTTAGTTTATTTATGATATCTGAACCCCAAGTTCTGCAAAGCTTTTGCTTAATTCTCTTAACCTCATACTTGCAGATGATTTGTTTCATCATTTGGGATTTAAGTTTATTTTGGTCTGTCCCATGCTCTGCCTTTATGCACAAGAGGTGGTTTAGGGTCAAGCCTAGAGTAAGGTCAAAGCACAAAGCAGAATGTGAAAATAAACCCACTATTAAGATGTGGCAGATTCTTTTGTCTCGTTTTTCATGGCTAGAGGAGCTAGCAACCTAGCCTAATACCACGTGAGGAGAAATTTGTCACAAACGGGTATAACATGGATGTCTGAGACATTGGTGAAGTCTTGATGCTTATGTGTCAATACCCAACTGAAGGAGAAACTTGCTCTAGTTCAGAGCACGTCACCAATTGTCAGATGTGTACAGTCTTACCAGGCACGCTGCAGTTGTCTCTGCCCTGCTGGTGCTGTACTGTGGGTGGTACTGCGCTGGCTGCCAGAAAAGACTGAACAGTAGCCTTTTGTTTCCTTAGTTCCTCATTGTTCCTGCAATTGTGGGCAGTGCCCTTCTCCACCGGCTCTCTGATGATCGATGGGAAAAGATAACAGCATGGATGTACGGCGTGGGGCTCTGTGCGCTCTTCATTGTCTCCACAGTATTTCATATCGTTTCCTGGAAAAAGAGTCACTTAAGGTATCACTGTAAGATGTAGGAGGTGCTTTATTTTCATGTCCTGTGAGGGGTTTTCCACTGTGTTGATGGCTTTAAAGAAGGCTGGAGTGGTACCGTGTACTGAATCATGCAAAAACCACCCTTGATTCTGTTGGAAGAAATAGTGAGCCAAGCTCTTGCACAAATGAGCTTCAATGTCTGCTGTTTTTCTAGGCCCTAGTGGCTCTTAATCCAGTATTTGGATGGGAAAAACATTATCTAAGTGCACAGTGAATATGATCCCACTGCAGAAATGAGAACACTGTCTGGGACTATGGCATGCTCAAATACTTTGAGGAACAGAGAGTTTGCCAAGAGAATTATAATACCATACGCAGCTAACTGGCAGGAAGCCTCCTGGGGAGCAGGGCGGCAGAACTAAGATGGGATTTTTTTTCATTATTACTTATGTTTATATTTTTGGTCCCATTAAAATTCCTGTATAATTCTGGGCCATAAATTGGATTTCACCGGTGGTCACTGAATAGTAACAGCTTCTGCATTAGGCAGAGTTGATGTGCCAGCTTTTTGCCTCCTTGCCAGAGAGCAGGATATATGTTGGGGTGGAGAAGGGAAGAGAAATGGAGGAGTGCTCATCTCCTTGCATCTTCCACTTAGAACCTCCTGTCAGCTGAACAGTCCAACAAATGGTTTTAGGAGCTTATGGAGCTGATGGTATTTTCCCTAAATTCCAAAGTGTGTCAGGGATATAATACAAAATTGTACATGTGTGTGATATAATACAGAAACCTTTCAAAAATCTAACTTCATGACTTGTTCTCTCTTACCAGGACGATGGAGCATTGCTTTCACATGTGTGACAGAATGATGATCTATGTCTTCATTGCAGCATCATATGCACCATGGTAAGTAACCTGAAGCGCAGCTTCAGAATTAAAGCTTTTTCCAATATAAACAGTTTATTGTTGTGGCTTTCCAAAATCTAGAGGTATCTTCTCAGGTACAGTTGACTACATTTTGCATTGCAAAATGCTACATAATGTAATTTCCTGGGTTTTGCTGAACAAAAAGTAATTTATCTATATCCCACATTCATGCTTCCCTCACATTAATACAGATGCACCTTCATCCTCTCTGTATAGAATGTCCAAGTGTCTTCTCCCCCATTGTGCCTATGTTATAGCTGTGAATATTTATTTATTTTTATCAAGCCCTACCCTTCTTTTGTCAATATGGTCCCTTTGTTCATCACTTTTGTCTCTTGAAATCTTTGTACCTCCAGGTTAAATCTACGTGAACTTGGACCTCTAGCATCTCACATGCGTTGGTTTATCTGGCTGATGGCTGCTGGAGGAACCATTTATGTATTTCTCTACCATGAAAAGTAAGAATTATTTGCATTTAAGCTTAAACTGAAAGCTTAAAAATTGAAGGATGTGGGCTTTCTTGCTTTATGAATGTTCTTATCCAGCCTTCTTGATTTTGTTTTGAGGTGAGTCCTTGAATTCAGATCCGAATTCTTGAGCTGCTTTCAGTACTTGTCCTCAGGGAGCAAGACCCAGCTTTTTTGTTTTGGAGATGAGCTATTCATGTTCTTGTCAAATAAAAAAATACAAGTTGTTTCAATGCTTTATTCTCACTAGTACTTAATGCAATTGAATGCATCTGGGCAGTATTTAGAGAAGAAGGTATTGGCTGTAATTGTACAATGCACAGATAAATACTAGCTTTATTTTTGGTTATCTATCTGCGTAGAAAGCTTTTTGAATAGTTAAAGGGACCCATGCTAATATAAAGTTTATGTTCCTCCTCTTGTACACCTCCTTAAATGACTCCAATCCTTCCTTTTTAGGTATAAGATCGTTGAACTCTTTTTCTATCTAGCGATGGGATTTTCTCCTGCTCTGGTAGTGACATCCATGGTAAGGAATGTGACTATTAACATTACAAACACACAGACTTTCCTTTTATAACTAACTTAAGTTCCATTGCAGGTCTCTTTTATCTGAAAAGATGTTAATTTTAGTCTCCCATAATTGTGAATGTTCTCTCTGCAGAAGAACCAAATATAGTGTTGTATTTTGGGTTTATAGTTTACATTTCAGTTGAAATGCTACCTTGTTTGCTTCAATCTGGGCTGCAGGTTCTAGATAAAAAGAGTTTAGGTTTCAGACTTCACTTTTGAGACACTTCTGAAAGGGTATTGGGCATACAATTCAGTTATTTCCATTTGAGTAAAAACAATGCGGATGTGAAGTACCTTTTGGTATGCCAAAACCTTGCTGCATGCTTCCCCCAGCTAGTAGGAATTGCATTAAAGGCACCCTTACACACAGTAATGTGGTTTTCTTTCTCTGTGTGTGACTGCTCTGGTAGTGAGCATGAAGCAAAACATCAAGCTTGTCATAATTCTCAAGCTGCCCCACTATTACTTCTATAGTGCACTGATATATTACATATTTCACAAAATATAATTAAATATACTTGTTTTCTCACTTGTCCATCTGTCATATCCAAGATGTTCTGAGCTATAACAGCCAGCTTTCTTCTCTTGGGGGAGGAAATCACTTTGTATTTTGTATATAAAATACCCTTTTCCTTCTCTATACCCTATCCCTAATCTTTCCTTGTCAATTGACAGAGCAACACCGATGGACTTCAGGAGGTTGCCTGGGGAGGCTTGATCTATTGTCTGGGTGTGGTGTTCTTCAAGAGCGATGGAGTCATCCCATTTGCCCATGCCATCTGGCACATATTTGTGGCCACAGCAGCTGCTGTTCATTACTATGCCATTTGGAAGTACCTTTACAGAAGTCCTGCAGACATAATTCGTCACTTATGAGATATATATATATATATATATATATATATATATATATATATAAAATAGTCTGCATTTGGCCTCTGTAACAGTATTATTTGACTTAAGGAATTCGGGGGGAGATTGGAAAATTGCACAGAAAAACTGCACTGACTTTGGTAGTTCTCTGAACACAATTACTGTGAACTGATGTCGTGTGTGTCCTGCAATTGCCCATCAAATGGCAAGTGCTGTCAATAACCAAGATACTGTACTGCAGTACCAAGAGTCCATTCCACATTAGCAGAACTGGCTACCTGATGTTTACAAATAAATTTTGTATTCTAGTTTAATTTTACAATTTTTAACTACTTGGATTTTTCTAAATTAGTGATTCAAAAGGTGAAGTCAGTGCAAGAGTGAAAATGTAACTCTCTGGATTTGCAATTGGTTTCTATCACCTTTCCACTAATCATGTATTAAACACGAATCACGGACAGATAATCTACTTTTACCACCCATTCTCTTGGTATGATGTGACTTTTATAGAAACTTTCTGTGTTTTTGGTAAACTTTGAAATTACACTTCTTGAACTGAAACCACACAAGTGTCATCTATGCAGTTCCTCATGTTGCAAAATCTTGCAAGAAATGGTTACATTCCGCACACTGTACTGACAAGCAAACGTACCTCTTCCAAAGGTTGTATTACAGGTGTAATTGTAATAACCACTTTTACAAACTAAAATCTAAATGTGATTCTGCTGATTTTTAACATGATAGCATCCTGCTCATCTATAGTACCACTTGAACAGCACTTTAATTTGGTTTTATTAGTGATGGAAATGAAGTGCTTCAAAGGAATAGTTAATGTGATTTTTCTTCTCCAGATTCCCAGTTCCACACCATGCTGCCCAGCCAGGCAGCAGCTTGGATGAAAGCTGACTTAGGAAGGGTTGGCAGAATTAAGGAAGGCTAACAGCCAAACCAGAGTCAGTCATTTCTCCAGGATAGATATACATGTATTGGTGCTGTAATAGTAAGGCTTGGATTTTCAAAGGGATTTATATTGTCCAACAGAACCCATTCCCACCAGCTTCTGCTGGGGTTATTCTGTTGGGAGATCCTGATCAGAGCAGCAGCTATAGAGCAATTGCTGACCACTTTGAGTCATGGTTACTGGTTCATCACAAGCACAGCCTTTCAAGGGGGAGAGCTTGAAGAACCTGATGCGGTGTCACTTGTCACTCTGAGATGTTACACAGAGCAAAACTGGTCGTTAATTGTGTTGATGTCTTTCTGTACAGGAAAAGCAAATGTGGTAGCAAATCATGATTGTAGAACATATGCATTAAATGACCAGCTGTAGAAGAGTCACTGTAATACTGGTTGTCCAATAATTGTATCCTGTCCCACTATATAATGAATGTCTTATATTAAGATTGACTTTATCCTTTTTCTAATTTACTCAGTTTTTCATGACGGTATTTAAAAGCAAAACCAAAATGTGTTGCCTTTTTCAGATTTTGTTCTGGATATTGCCTGTCTGCAAACAATGAACAGCAAGATAGGGATGTTTTTCAAGGTACCATTTAATACTGCACCTGGGTTTGCCAGTGGGTTCCATATTTTAGAGCACACACATTTGTATACAGAATTTACAAGAGGGACAAACTTTAAAATCAAGGCATTGAAGAGTTGCTGGATGGTGCTGGCAGGTGATAGGAGAAATTGCACCACCACAGCAGACTAATTGACTGCCCCAAAAGAGAACCGATGGAACATCTGGGCAGGTGATTCCTAGTACAACACTCGCACATCTGGATGCCTCAGTTTTTTAACATTGTGTCTATTTTAATACTTTCCACTTTTTGTGAGTTCATCTATTTTGTTTAAATGCAATACTGTTAAAACCACTAAAATACACGTAAGGGGTTTCTGTAGTCAGAAGTGAAATTATTGCTTGAATATGTTTGTTTTAAGTTAATTTTTCATGGCATTGCTTTTTTGGAGTATTTGAAATGGTTTTTAAAGATTTCAATTCGCCAAAAGTATTTTGAATTACTGTGTTCTAGTCAATACGATACTGAATGTACCAGACTAACAATAAACATTTTGTGCAATTTGGACACTCTTGTATCCTCGGTGGTTGTTCTTCCCCCCCCATCCCCCTCCAACACTTACGCAGGAAAGTAAGGGACTGGCTTGGTACTCCTGACATGAGAGATCCAGAGGTGAACCAATGACCCTCAGCCAGCTCTTCAGAATAAAAGCAGTAGGAAAGGTTACAGCCCAAGTTATTCAATTTGTGGTATGGAAAAATATGTCTAAATTGGGTCAATATTGGGAGCTTGCTGCTTTCTCTTTTGCTGATATGGATTACTTTTCTTATACTTTGTATACTTCTGGGTTTTTTCAATGATATAGCACTAAAATACATAATTATGCTTCTATCCCTATAGCAGCATCATTGCATAAAATACATGCAAGCTGAATTAAAAATGCATTTCTGTGTGGAAAACAAGTATGTCAGAGAGACTTACTTACTTATTCCCCCCCCTCCATCTAATTCCAGCTCTCCAGTCAGATTGCTCCCAGGAGTAGCAGCAGTGCTTTTCCCAGCAATGTTTGCTGCAATAGCAGAGATGGGATTTCTTTGCCTTCTGAAGCAAGTGTTTTTAAAGCGCTTGCTCCTGTATTTTCTATGCCTCTACATTTGGAAGTACAACACCGAGTCTGAAGCAGTGATAACGTGTGTTTTGCAGATGGACTTTTCTGGAGGATGTCTAGGAGACAACAGGTACTTTGAATACCACATGCTCTCAGTCCCATCACTTTTAGGCTGCATTTTTCTAACATGATCTATTATGTTCATCTAAAAAATAATTCCATTATCTGAAGGGATTTATTTAAGTGTTTATTATAGAGTGCACTTCGAGTTGTTTTCATTTTCTTATTCAACAGCATCAATATACAGGTATACACAAAGAAAATAATTGCCTCTTTTCTGTCTGCTAGCAAAAGCAGTCATACAAGCAGGCTGCTTTTCCAGTGCTGTCTTTCCCCAGAGCCCTCTGAATTGCTTGTGATTATGGTAAGAAACTGTACTACTGTCTCCCGGTTCTAGGGAAGTAATGAAGTCCTTTCAAAGGAGGCTTGAGTGTCCAAACATGGTTACTGTGTCCAAACCACAGTGAGCTGTGGTGTGAAAATGGGGTCCTTCAGGGACTCTTTGCATCAGTTGGTTTACCAAAACTTAAAAAAGCTAAATTCCAGATCAGGCAGACAAGGCACTTCCTTTTAATGTGCATGTTACACAGGTTTGTTCTAATTGGTTTTCTGCCTGAACTGAAGCACCAAGCCTGGGTCAGGCATGCAGGGTTCTGGTTGTTCTATAGACCAGCAGTTGTACAGTGTTGGCTGGATGGAGTAATGTGCTCCTGAGGCTCAGGGTGATCGCTGTGGCAGATCATGAATTGCAGTATGGGACTTTACATGACTTTCACAGCTGGTAACAACTCTTCCACGCTGATATGTGCCTTGTTTAAATCATACAGGTGGTGTAGCATTTGTCGAGCTGCTGCTTGGTGCAGTGTGTGTGTCAGGGGCTGGAATGAGCAAGTTAAACTTTTTCATAGACTTTTTCCTATTAAACCTCTTGCTTAAATGCCCCTCATGCTCAGGACCCCTACACAATTCTTTATTTAGGTGTGTGGTGTATTCAGCCCCGTGATTCCTCTGGAGGATAAGGCTGTCATGTTCACATCATGTGCTTGACTAAGTCTTTTCTCTGTGCTTTGCTATTTTTAGTCAGTCTCTGCTAATTGCTTTCACCATCAATAGGTGTCACAAGATTACAGCTAAAAATAGTTAACAAAGGAATGATGGGGATGGCAAGGCTCCACTGTGGGCGCTTCCAGCCTTTTGCCTTCCCTGTAGAGCTGAGCAGGTTGGTGGCCTGTGGCTTGGACTGTTGATAGTCAACAGCCAGAGGCCGCTTGCTGTCATTCTGCTGTTTGAAAAGGTTTCATTCATCATTTGCCTGAATAAATTCACTATCACAGGCTGGAAAGGGAATGCACAGGAGACACCTGAAGTGTTCACTGGTGGCTATTTAGAAGTGTTTGGATGCTTTGGTGTTAGAGTGGTGCTGGGGGAAGCGGTGCTGGTCAATCATGGCACACCAGTAGTGTAGAGGTAACCCTGTGCCTTGGGCTGAATGCTCCCAGGCTGCTCAGTGTCAGGTGTTGGACCTTCTTTGCAGCCTGTCTTGAGGATTCAGCACAAAGCTGTTTGACGTGGAGCACTTTCAGAGTATCCATACACACACAGTCTGAGCCAATGGAGCAGTTCCTTCTTACAGGTCCAACCTCTCAGGAATGTGCTGGCTTCTGTAAAAACGAGCTTTCAGATTCCTCTTTGGGTGGTATTTTGAAGTGGGCCGATGTTCTGTTACCAAGCTGGGTGTCTGCTTTCACACCAGGCACCCTCCTCCTGTCTGTGGTGAGCCTGACCACAAGCAGTAAGGGTGGCAATGCCTGTTTCCTTCAAGGAACCAGGGCGCTTGCTGCTAAGGATAAGCTGGGGAACCAAAATCCTCTTGCAGAGGTCTAGCAGGAAAGGCAGCACCAGTTTTGTAACAGAAGTTACATCACTGACTCTAATGAGGCTAGCGTGCTCTCAGGAGGATAGAGTCAGATGTCTTTATTGCTTAGCAGCATGAGCCCTGCTGGCAGTGGATTTGGGTGTCCAGATCCTTCAGGGGCCTTTGAAAGTCTCCCTTAAATTTTCATGTAGGTGGAAAGCCATTGGTAGAGACCAATTGAGTCAGTGGTGTCCGCTCCAGCAGCTGTCTCCTCGCTTTCTGGTGTGTTTGCTTCCAGGAGTGACACAGAGGTGTGGTGAGCAGTGACCAGCCACAGAGTGTAGTTCTGTCTGCTGACCGAGCCTTGTCTCCAACAGGACGTTCAGAGGGACCACAGGATGTTTGGATGCAGAGCTGTTGTTACTCAGGAGGTCAGAACACTGGAACCCGACCCACAGCACTCCTGACCTTGGGG